GAATAGAAACCACATGCAAAAAATCTAAACTCTGGTGCAGATAGCTTTCTCATTCAAAACCTTGTAAAGTCAACGAAAGTCAACCAATCACCAAATCAAAGCAAAAATGCAACAATACGAAACCAATTAAGGAGAAAAAATTCATAAAATTAAAATGAAAAAAAAAAAATTAGGCATTTTGCCATATACACCTTCAAAAACAATGAAAGCCAATAAAGGTTTCACAAAATAAACTATTCTAATGGAGAAAAAATATTTCATTTTACAAAACAACAAACAACAAAAAAGGTCAAGAATACAATATACATAATTTTGAGTATTCAACGAATTCACTAACACAAGACGAATTGCACAAGACATCAAAATGGTATTCGGAACGATAATCTAATACCTATAAAATAACTAAAATACATAACTAACAAGAAGAAATAAAATGGAGAAATATTAAGGGTGTCAATTTGACTCGCGAGCTCAAACGGCCTGTGGCTTGGCTAGGGAAAAGCTCCAAGCCTACCCGACTCGCAGCTTTGTAGAACTGAGCCACATTTTGGAGCGTCGGCTCATCTTACGGGCCATTTTCGCAAAAAATAATAAAATAAAGTAAAAGTTAAGTGCCTGCTTACACATGCAGTATGTGCTGGCTGCAAGGCAGCTATACAAGTAGCTACTTAGCTGCCTGTCAATAAAAAAAATAAAATTAAAAGCTGAGTGTAGTTGACATCAGTAACACATGCAGCTACATAGGCAGCAGTGTACGCTGGCTACTACAGGTATACAGGCAGTACTTAGCTACCCATTACAATACCAAAAAATAAAAAATAAAAGAAAACATTTTTTTGGCCTAGCTACTCGATAAGGCTTGAGCCGGAAGCTTGGGCCAGAAAAAGCTCGAACTATTTTTACTCTAGTCGTGTCGAGCTCGAACCTCGAGTTTTTGCTCGCAAGCTGACTCAGCTCGACTCGTTGATAACCCTATAAAAAATAGAATTACATAATATATTTCAAAAGTAACAGAATGATGATGATGATGATGATGATGATGATGATCATAATAATAATAATATGGCACATCATTTGATAAATATGACAACATTTATATTTCTATCACCATATAAGTCTACAATAACCAAATTACCTACATTACATTTACCTCAGTATCCACATCATATAAATTTAAGTGAAGAAAAAAATAAACCATGAGACAAATTAAGGAAAAAGAAAGATTAGAAAAGACACGTGATGAATGATGAAAAAGACTAATGGATTGTCGACAAATTACAACAAATTAATTATGTAGGAAATAATGTAGAAATTTACGAACGGAAATAGAAATTACAATTTCAATGATAATTTTCATCAAAAATTCATCGATAAAACTGTTTCTGATAGCTGCCATAGAAATGTGTTGGTATTTTCGATAGGCTTGTATATGTAGGTAAATACACGGCTATGTTGCTATCGAAAAGTTACTAGCGAAACTTTCACCTTCGATATGTACCGATATAAAAATTATATCGCTTAAGTAAAGATGCAGAAGGAATATCGATTGTGAGCAAAAGAAATATCTATAGCATTTTTTAAATAGTGCCTTCTTTTCCTTGTCTTCAATTCCTTTACTAAAAATTAACACTGCAACAACAGTTTTTTCCCTACTTACCGATAGAATTTAGGTATGTACATATCGAACGTGAAAGTCCCACCACAATTTTTCGATGGCATAATAACCATCAGTAATTATGAACGAATTTACCTACATCTACATGCACAAAGTCCATCGAAATTATCGATGGGTTCTATGGCAACTATCAGAAACAATTTTAGATATTAATTAGTTCGATAAAAATTATCAACGAAATTGTCATTGCTATTGTTGTTGGGAAATATGTGGTTAAAAAGTAAAGAAAAGTTATTGATATGATGAAAAATATTATTTTATTAAAGACTGTGTGATTGAAAATGAGTTATGAAATAATGTGTTTTGAAAGAATGTGTACCAAACAGGGTTAAAGGTGATATAGGGGAGGGAGACGACTGAGGAGAAAAGAAAGAAAGAGGTGATGGTGTTAAGGGAAATGGTGGCAGTGAAGAAGAGGCAAGTTCTGTAAAGGGGAAGGATGGTGGTAGAGAAGCAAGAAAAATGGTGGTGGTGATAAGAAGAAGGGATGCGACGATGGAGAAAAGAAAGAGAAGGGTGATGGTAACTGCAGCAAAGAAAAGGGCGATGAGAACAACTCTGGCCAAATGGAGGACCACTTTATTTGCTATCCACAACCATATGGACCTGCTCTCCAAATGCTCAATGATGAGAACCCGAATGCATGTTGGGTCATATGAAGGGGGGAGAACAGAGAATGAATTGTTTGATTGAATGTGTACTAAGAATTGTTTTTAGTTCACAAATTAAG